GATTGTTCTTTAGAAGCGGATTCTTGACTCTCAGCACGCCCAAGTTTCGCAGCATGAGATCAACATTCACCAGAGTGGACGTTGTAGCACGACACCAGTCAGCAGCGAAACTTGTTTGTTCAAAGACGCAGAACCATCTGACATGAGATCTAGAAATCGATCAGTTCCTACATACCTTAACTTTCCAGTGTCTTCGAGGCTGTCATCTAATTCAAGTGTGATATCATAGCACCATATTTACAAGACAATATGAAGATGCTCTTACTTACTAACCGTTGAATAGATTCTAGAAATACACCGGCGCTACACCACCTGCCTAGTAGAACCCCGGGCCCTCAGCGGCCAGCGTCAAGGGCTACTGGACTACGGCGGCGGCCCGGCCCAGTCACTCGCGGCTCAGTGCGCCGCGGCCGGGCCGCCCGGGAATTGAGTGGCGGAAGGTGATCAAGCTGACGATTCCCTTTCAGTGTCGGCTAGTCCGGCCGTGACTCGGTTCCCACTATCATTTTGATCCCTCGGCAGCTCAGCTGGTTCTGTCACTGCCTGTATCTCCGAAGAAGCAGGAGCGGAAGCGGCAGCATCTGGCGGCAACGGACCTTCAGCTGCCACTGCGAGCGATGTCTGTGAGCTAGGTAATGTGTCAACTTCTTGACGGCCATCCGGGGGGACCGATGAATTTATGGCCGCTGCTGGGTCTTTCCGACTACAGGATGGAAGTCACAGTCTAGGAAAGGCAGTCAACGGGCTCTCACCAGCTGGGGCATGCTCCTTCCGGCCGCAGCAGCCAGGGGTCAACGCACTGCGAGTGAAATCGATGACCGCAAGGAAGAATGCGCCTGAACAAGACAGGAGGTTAGTACTATAGCAAGCATTGCATTGAGATCACCATGTTAGGTCTGTGTTCGCATCGTCCAAGCAGACTCCACAAACATCTCCGTCAATCGGCGGCTCTGCATGAACATTACATTATTGTCTGGATGTGAGCACAGTGCCTACCAAAGCTCTCCGGCAGAGATGCAATCAACTCTCGCCGCCGTGCCATGCTCTCCTCGTACTGCGTCCTCGCCCCATGTACAAACGCAATCCTCCAGAGTTCTCCACCTGCCAACACCTGCCAACATCTGAGATGCAGAAGAGTCTGCATCACAAGGCGGAACCTGCTGATTCGGTATCTGCTCTTCCCGCATCCATCTTGACCTCTCCGTGTAAAGGATGCGATGGAAGCAGTAAAACCTTTTACTCGAAGTGAGCGCGGGGGCAGCGAGAGGAGAAGAGCTACTAACATGCCAGCGATCACAGTGCCAATGGCCATAGAGACCCATATCAGGAAGATGAGCGAAATTACATGCAATGCGTTACAGATGAGCTGCGATTCGATCCATGTCAGTCGCTATTGACCAAGTGAAGCCCTCATACCTTGTAGTCAGCATCTGGGCAACTCTGGAAAGGAAACGCCAGGTGTGTGATCCAGCAGGATAAGACGAAGGTGCCTGAAGAAGCATGAGAGAGGATGTCAAAGATCCTCAGCCGCGGATGCGGCAGTTCGTTGGTCTCCCCCTCGCCGTATCTGTGTATTGGTGTCATCCGGCAAGTTCACATGCGGACCCTGACATCACCTGGTCAGAAATGCCTGGAGCCGAACGATGTGAATGAATCTGTAAAACGCATCCAGCAGCGACAAGATCACGTATCCCAGGAGCAGCTTCCAAGAGGTAGAGTCATGGGTTGAGGTCGGGGAGGATAGGAGAGCAGCGATGTAGAGAAATGAGCAACTGAGGGTGACAGCCAGCACGACAGAATGATAGCGAATGTGCCAGCGCTGCACAAGGTAGCGAGCAGGAGAAACACGAGATCGATCTTGGCTGAGACGGACGGGATGAACCCGGTTGTTCATTGGCATGTCCGCGCCTTCGAGGTTTCAAGCACCTCAAATGAGAGCAAGAGGAGGAGGAGCGGTAGAGCCTGTGACCAGATCAACCTGCTTCATCTACTTGCTCCTCCCGCTACGTCGCTCTCGCCTTTCTCCCTCCATGTTCCCCTCTCCCTGCCTCTCGGTCCCCTAGCCATGCAGCTGCCTCCCCAAAGCTGAGCTGACCACCCCTCCTTGCAGCACCACATTGGAATCAAGGACAGAGGGGTAGTGGGGACCGTCCACGAGATACGATACAAGGATCATGGCAACTTCGCCGACGTTGAGAGGACGAGGGAGGCTTCTGGAGGAGGAGGAAGAAGAGGACAAAGGAGAGGCAGGGGAGGGGGGGGATGAAACTGGTGGAGGAGGAGTGTGAGCGAGTGGTAGAGAGTGAGAGCGTTTGTGCTTTCTATCGCCAGGATACAAGTCACTTTGACTGGAGTATTGGCAAAAATCTCACAATACCATTCATTCAATATCAGGAACACGATGGGAACAAAATTCTGGCCTAACAAAGAATGGCTCGACGAACCACTGATGAAATCTCGCACAAGCAATCATCACATTCTCACTCTAGTTGGCCATGTCCTTCATATCAATAACCTGCTCCTTGCCCATGGCAATGAGGACAGTTACAAGAGTGTCGGTTCCCGCGTCGAAGCGCTCCTGGAGCTTCTTGGAGATGGTCTCATCCTCAGGAAGCTTCAAGTCGTCGCGCATATCGCCATCCTTGGTCATGAGACTCAAGAACCCGTCCTCGCTAATGTCGCAAAGCTGGTACTCAGCACGGGTGACGATGGGCTCGGACAGCTGGGCAGAGGCAGGGCAGATAGCTTCGTACTTCTTCGAAGTGAAGATGTCGATGCCGACGAAGTGACACTTGGCTGCTCCGTGCTTTCCAACCTTAGCCTTGGACACGTCGACGATCTTGCAGGGCTGTCCCTTGATCACAAGGAAGCCTCCCTTGCGAGCAGCTCCGGCTTCGATGGGGGTGCAGTCAGCCGCCCCGGAGTCAGCCGCATCATAATCATCATCGGAAGACATCCTGTAGAAAGCAAGGAATCAGAATCTTGCTTTGATGGGATAGGAAAAGTATAGGCCCCAGAGAACCAGCATTCACAGCTTTTGCGTTTCCCTTAACGTAGCAAATTCATCATTATTTGTGATGTATCAGAAGCTTCTACTTCTTGCTTGTCTGAGTCCGAACAATAGCAATCATATCAGGATTATCTCTTCGTTGACACCTCTACTTGGCTACCTCTCTTGAAGAATGTGTAATACAACATCTTCTCTTTCTCTAACGTGTTCGGTAAAGTTCCTTCTATCATCTTGTCGAAACCCAAATCATAGATTACATTTTCGGAGTTACTTTAGGTTGCATTTACCGTCTACAAAGACACCAAGTTTCGTTGATTCACTCAGTGACTACCTTAAATCCTCTCGTGGACTTTTTCCTGGAATCATCGTCGTTTTACCATTTCTTACGAATGGGTATGTTGAATTCAAAGTCTTTCTTTGCAGTCCTTCACCTCATCGTCTCTTCCTCTCGCGTCCTGCCTTCCCTCCCCCCTCCACTTCCTTGCTCTGCATCACAGTCACGTGAATCTCTCACGCACCCACCCCTCAGCCTTACCATGAACGGGTGGTTCTTGAGTACCCCACTTCTTGGTACTCCCCCTTTTTAGAGAGGAAGTAGCACATAATAAACCGTACATGAGGGGAGAAGTACTATGAACAGACATATGAAAAAAGCCTAAGGTGTTCACCTAGCATGCTCTAAGTCTGACTATGCAATACCCCCATGGTACCCCGCCCATCACTACCCTAACCCACCCTGGGATATGAAATGAAATGCTTTAGCTTATTACTTTTTCATGGAAACTTGACTAGCTCGTTTCTGTTGATTTCCGTTGAAAGGAATTTGTCACAGCAAGCGACATGTCGGGGTTTCGTGCGATCCATGCGGAGACGCGAGGGGACAGGCAGTGCCGGGGAGACAAGGAAGGTGAGGCAGCTCTGTACAAGCTCCCATGCAGCCTGCTTGCGACCTGTCTGTGACTCAGCCCGTGTCATCAGCGCTAGAGAAAGAAAGGCTCAAGGGCAGACGAGAGGCCTTTGGCAGGTTCGACGCAATAGGCCTGCTCGGTCAACCCCTCACTCACCCATCCTTGACTTGCAGGTATCATGATCCCGGACCGCTGACTGAGAACACTCCTGGAAGCCTCGGATATGTAAGTTCACTGCCCTCCCTGGCTGCAGTGTCACGTTGTGTGATGGTCACCCGAGCTTGTTTCAGGCTTCAAGAGCCGAGCGGTTTCAGACAGACGCAGCTGCTGAGCTGAAGAAGAACCGCGATGCAGTAGTTCAGGCGAGAGAAGAGCTTCTCAGCGTGAAGAGAGAGAGAAACTTGACACGGGAGGAAAACCGTTGGAAACGAGCGGACGAGGTCAATGCTGCAAGCTCGCTTGCGTAAGGGCTGATGGAGGCACTGCAGGAGTTCAACGAGAAGCTTGAGAGGCAAGCGAGCATGGCCAATGGCGCCAAGGTGACGGACAGTGAGATCGAATGACGTGGCGTGACGGAATAGAGGCAGGGATCGCAGAACCACAGCTCGATCGCCTATGACCCTATAACTCTCGAGTACCACGAGACCCCAGCAGGACAGAAGCAGAAGTACGAGGATGACCTCACCAGGTTCCGAGCTGGCGTCCGCACCGAAAAGTTGCATCGACAGAACTCAGGGAGCGGCTACAACCCCATCACAGTGAGCGTGACGTTGCCAGAGAGTGAGAAGTTGACGTCCAAGCAGGGAGAGGACCTGAGGGCTCCTGTACTGCCTCCCAAGCCCCGCTACCCGAATTGAGGACCATGGGGGATGAAACTGACCACATGTAAGCGCAGTGAAGGGAAGCTGATAGAAAGGGAGTTAAGCTCTTGTGGGAGCTGAAGAGTGGGGGGGTTAAGTAGACGAGCCTGAGAAAGGGAGGAGCAGCATGATTGTCTATTCGACTTGAAATTTCAGCGGCAAGTTGTTCGCCTGCATGTAAAGGATTGCATGCTCAAACTCATGGCTCTTAGTGACAGTGACATCATCCCCATCGCCATCCCTAAAGACAGACAGTCATCACAAACCTCCTCCACCATTGCGCACCTGAAGGACATTCTCGTACCCTTCGCATTCATGGATGGAAACGACTGTCAAATCAATCATGCCCTGACTCCTACCATGATTAGTTACCTTCTGCATTGCCTCAAGCAGTTCTTCGTACGTCTTCACAACATATCTTCTCATTTCCTTTCCAAACGTGACCTTCACGCTGTATGTTTCATGAGGAGGGCTGGATGACAAATTTTGTATTTGATCCCCCGCATTTTGAGGTTCTGTGTGTATGCCATGCCCATCAACTCTGTGGCCAAGTGTGAACATCAAAACATGTCTATATTGCGGACTTGCCTTTCCATACGCTTTGAGTCAAATTCATTTTCATTCAATCCCGGGAGCAGGAATGTGCTGATATCATCCTGTTGATAAGATGAAGAGCTCTTACAGTTGTTATTGCCGATACCTCTTTGTCTTCTCCTTCTTCTTCTTCTCCTTCTCCTTCTTGAACTGACCCATCTCCATCCTCCTGCTTCTCAAAATCTTCTTCTCGACACAACTGGAGGCTCTCAGCACAAACTCTGGATTTGCCATGAGTAAGCAAAGGCTGGCATGTACTTCCGGTCGCACCTTCTCCTAAATGAGTTAGAGTCGCATCGCATCACGTTGCCGCTGGAAGAGCACAAGTGTCTCGTCGCCTCCAGGAAGAAGCTCTCCCAGTCCTCCAGCACCTCACTGCACATGCTCACGAGCATTCGCTTCACCCACCCGCCTGTCGCTCGGTTCGTCGAGACGTTGGAAGTGAAGTGAGGCAGGGGAACTCCACCCTCGTCGAGCTGGTGGTGGGTGAGCGACGTCAGATGGACTCCTGCTCCTCTACCTGCAAGCCAAAGCGAGCCATCCCCTCTTCGCAGAAGTCTTCTAACATGATGACAAGCTCGCTCTGTGTTCGTCAGACCCCGACAGAGAGTTTGGTGGTGGTGATGGTAAGAACAGCAAACTGAGGAGAACAGTACTTTAGTAGCCTTCTTTCCTTCATTTTGTCGCTTGATGACCAGGTTGGAAAGTTCAGCGACAGACAGAATGCAAGCTCCGCATTTGAAATATTTGGCGACTGAAAGGCAGCTGACAGATGATCGAAAGCAAAACAAGAACACCTGAAGGCTCGCGGAAGTCAGGAAGCATTCCGCATGCGTGGTCCTTTCCGCACTGAGACGAGGTTGAGAAGATATAAAAATTGTCCACTCGCTCTGAAGCTTTCTCACCTCCAATTCGATAGCGTCGGACATGAAACGAAAAAGTAGAAACACAAGCTGAAACACCAAACTTCTCATCTAGGCTACAAGCAAGCTTCAGTATCATACTTGTCATCTAGCAAGGCTACAAGCAAGCTTCAGTATCATACTTGTCATCTAGCAAGGCTACAAGCAAGCTTCAGTATCATACTTCTCATCTAGCAAGGCTCTACAAGCAAGCTTCAGTATCATACTTCTCATCTAACAAGGCTACAAGCAAGCTTCAGTATCATACTTCTCATCTAGGCTACAAGCAAGCTTCAGTATCATACTTCTCATCCTAGGCTACAAGCAAGCTTCACGTCATCACAAAAAAAAAAGGTCATCACCCCATGGAGGTCAAATCAGGTTTTCATTGAGGCGGGTTTGTAGGTTTTATCCTCGTCCTCCTTTTCAGTCAAATAAAGGATCCTTTACAGGAAACGAAGGATGTTGTGTTTACGGGTAAGAACGAAGAAAGGATGTTGTGTTGTGTTTACTGGCATTCATGATCCACCACAAGTTTATCACTCTGACACTTGTCTCGTCCTTTCAAGAGGACACTCTTTCTTTCCTTGGCTTGACTGCGGCGATAAAACTTGTTGACCTGATCGCTTGACTTGTGTATCGCGCAGTAGATCGCCCTCCTGCCTCTCTCCTGCTGCCAGTCAGCCGTGCGAGGAAGACGCTCAAGCACCTTGCTGCCGTAGATGGCGAGGGCAGAGCATCCTTGAACCTGGAGGACCCGAGGCAAGGGCGAGAGACAGCCGGGAAGAGAGGAAGGGACACAAACAAGTCAAGCAAGGCAGCGACGAGAAGGGGAAGAGCCTGCTCTCACCTCGCATTGCGCATGAACTTTATCTACGTGACCTGGCAGCTTGTGCTTGGCGCCTTCTTGCTAGTCAGTTGAAGATGCGCATGCGAGCTCTCACAGAATCTTGGCTTAGAGTCTTGAACCGGGGCATAACAAGGTCTTGTGTTGCATCTGCAGTAGACACAGCAGCATCATGAAGCATCGTGAATCAGGTGGTGCTGCCTCGTACCCATGCGGATATTCACACCGCGGGTGCAGCAAGTCAACGTCTGTGGAAGACTTGTGCTTGATGCAGTGAGAGGCATTCCTGAGGGCTGAGACTCACGATGCTCCTCCTCTCCTCCCTCCTCTCTCACTTCAGAGGTGTCCGTGGAGGCCCGAAGATCGCCATCCGCTTGCATCGCAAGCACCATCTTCCCTGGGGAGCGATCAAAAAATCTGCGAGCAGGGGGATCCAAGCAGGATCAAACCTTGAGATTCTTCCTCATCGTTACGATGCTCATGTTCCCTCCCTCCAAGCTTCTGCTGCAACCCAGGCAGAAGAACGCCAGCCATCTCGCTTCCGTGTCCTGTGACACGGCCCCGCTCGAGATCACGCTAGTCCCACACACAGCACACCTGTGCATGGGAGAGGCCCCGCAAATGCTGCAGGGCCCGGGCGATAGGAAGGAGGTTGAAGAGTTTGCATGTAGCGTCGACATGTCCTCTCGAGTGAGAGGTCGACAGGCTCTCTTGAGACAGCAGCATGAGATCCCTCCGGCTTCCCGCTCTTGATCGGTGCCATGCTCACATCCAGCAGGGAACCCCTGCAAGCGACTAAGCGTGTGAGCTACGAGGAGGAGGAGGAGGAGGGATCTCATCCATGCCGCCTGCTTCCCCTCTCGCCATCCTCCCATGTCCTCCTGCTTCAGCAGATCGAGATCCCGCGCTCATCTTGGCGCGGGCGCATGGATTGCAAGGGCCCGCATCCCCCCTCAGTCACTTGCTACTGTCCGACTATCAGCACCCAGATCAGCACCTGTATCAGCACCCTGATCAGCACCCTGATCAGTACCGTCAAGCTTTCAGTCGCAGGGCTGCAATCTGACTTGGTTAAGACGCTTTATGACACTAAGATGCGTTTGACTTGTTAAGACGCTTTATGACACTAAGATGCGTTTGACTTGTTAAGACGCTTTATGACACTAAGATGCGTTTGAGACAGCCTGCCTAGGAACAAACCTGATGTTGAAGTCCTGCAGACCTGCGACTCCTTCGGCTTCTCCGCCAACCGTTGCGTCTTGCCCTGAGCCCAAGGGCCTGCAGGTGACGAAGGAGCCATGGCAGGACCGCAACTTGTACTGCCAGGAGAGTCAGCACGAGCTCCTTGGCTCTCCTCACGCTCGTCTACCTTGTCCTTCGCAGCCCGCAGCGTGAAATGCTCCCAATGCGTCGCCACGTCATGCAGGCCTAAAAAGCCGTCGGGGAGGAGCGACAGAAAGCGACCACTGGATTCAATTTCAGCTGTACGGAACTCCCAGCTGTATCTCACCTGGACGTTCGAAAGGCGAAGCGCCTTGTCATGCGCTCTTGATCTTGCGGTCGCTGCTCTAAGGTGAACCAGCTCTTCTCGTCTTGGAACTTCGACCCGTCGCAGCTCGCGACCACTTTCTCGTCCTCGTCCACTGGCGACCATCTGTCAACAGCAGCAGCACTCCAGCACATGCTCACCTCTCAACGCAAACCTGTCTCCTGCGAGCAGCTGGACTTTGACGCCATGGGTGAGCAAGGGAATGGCGAAACGAGAGGGCTCCACGCGTGTCTGCTCCCACACGCACTGGCGTAACCATTCCTTGTCTACGATGTGAATCTTGTGCTGCTGAGCCTCCAACACAACCTGCGGGGCCATCAGGCTCAGCTCGCGCCCAGCTGCTCTCACCGCTGCTGGAGGAGCCTCGTGGTGGCTGCTGAGAATACAGTAGACGGAGGAGTCGAAGGCGGAGGGGATGGCACCGGCCATGCGCAAGATTCCCTCCATCTCAGATCGAAATGCCGCGGGGCCGAAAACGCTGACGCGCACGGAGCTTAAGCAGCGCGCGAGTTGAGGAGTCGGAGAGAAATCGTTTCCTGACTTGGTGAACGAGTATCTCTTGCGGCTCTTGGGGTCAAAGCCGGCGTCAAGCATGTACGAGTGAGGAGCGAGCAGTTGCTTCTCTGTCACCTGCATCATCTGACGTCATCTTCACTCCTCCTCCCGGCACCAACTCACGCAATCGACAATCCATTGGGTGCCCACGGGAGGTATGCCAGCAGCCAGTCCTGCGAGGTACTTGAAGGTCTGACAAGGAACCGAGGACAAGATTAAAGCCTGCATGAGAGAAGCGACGAAGAAAAGAGAAGGAAGTCAGTCGCAAGGGATCTCAGTTTGCTCGGATAACTTACTTTCACATCCTCTCGCTCGTTCATGCACTCTTCTACTCTCTCCATCACTTTCCCTCCATGTCGATTTATGGTGGCAACAAGTCCTTCGCGTCCGCAGCTTCCTCCGAAGTGTGGATCGTTGGTTCGGATTGAAGTGATGATGAAGTTCACGCCTGAGAAGAGCGAGGAGGACGAGGCCAGGTCATCAACTAGTTCATCGCGGCCTGCAGCATGCTAGTCAATCACCTGGCAGGCCTGGTGCTCAAGATCACCTCGCGCATCCTCTCCACCCTCTTCATCAAATTCTGAGAGACCAAACACTTGGCTGCATGACGCGTTGATGTCCTGTTCAGCCTGAGAGAGAGCAGAGAGAGGTGGAGGAGCAGCGAGGGGCAGAGGAGGAGGAAGAGCAGGATCGGCGTCCCCCCGGCACAGGAGGGGGGCATCGTCGCCTAGTCTCTGCAGTTTTTTCAAGGCAGGAGGTGATTGGATTCGACGCTGCTCGAAGGAGCAGGGAGAACACAGGGAGAGCGGCTCCCCGTGCGAGTTATCGTACCAACCTTCCGACCACCTCGCGCCACAACGCCGACACAGGCCTGGGATCATCTTGACGCGGAAGGAGGCTCCTCCTGCAGGAGGGGCGGCAGCTGCTCCCCCAGCCATGTAGACTTGACTAGCCTCACAGGACGAGGCACTCGGTTGAACGTCTTCCCCTTCCCAAGCGTCTTCATTGTGCTCTCCAGACTCTTTCGGAAGAACGAGCCGATTGTTCGCGTGGTAGAGAAAGCAGACGTCGCAGATCGTCCCGAGAGCGCTCTCATGCCACTCCCTCGAACGACTGACGGCACACTTGACGCAGCAGCCGGGGAGAAGTTTGTTGCCCTTCTTCCTCTTCTTCTGCTTCGTATCATCTGCATCTTTGTTTGAATCGTTCGTTCGCGTTGCCTGCTCATCGGATGCCTTATCATGTACATCGCGAGTCTCTGCCTCCTTTTCACTGTCTCGGACTCTGCTCTCCTCCTCCTCTAACATTCCTCGTCTAACGTTTCTTCTTGGAATCAGTAAAATCTTCACACACCGTGTCAAGAAGTGGACTGCAGAGGTCGAGCGAACTCACCGGCGACTCCTCACGTGACGTCTGTCCTCCTTCATCATCCGACTTCTCCTCCTCAATTTCTCCAAACTTTCTCTTCGAGTCTCTGCAGCCGGGTTTGACTCAGCAAGTCACGCCATCATTTCAACCGCTTCGACTGACCTGCCTCGCCCGCTCACAGGGGACGCAAGGGACGCAGTCGTCCCACCATCGACTTCCATGCGACTGGACGCAACTCGAACGACTTGGAGGGCATCGCGCTCGTTACCATACTCGTCAACCTCTTCACGTCGCCATCGTGCGGCACTGACAGTCTGCTTGTCGACATTTTCTTTTTGTTTGTCGGGGAGTTCAGGTGGCATATGGAGTAATCTTGCAGAAGGATTGGATTTCGATAGCTTGCGCGTTTCCTGCAGCAGATGCTGTGAGAAGATTTCGCAACATCAAGGGAATTTAAGGGGCTTGCCTCAGGGTCCTCATCTTGTGTGTCTGAATCATCCGCATCGTTCTGAGGCTCCTTGTCCCTGACTCCGCAAGCTTGCGAAGCCTTTGTTTCCATATGATCTACTCGATCTGTCTGTGATGCTGTCTCGCAAGCAGTGAAGTCTGACTTCACTTCTACCGCATGATTGACTTCCAAGTGCAACTGTGATGCTTCTTTTATCGCACGCTCCTTATCTCTGGTTTCTCTTGCAGATGTCAGGCTCTGCTGCTTGTTCTTCACCATCTGATCTTGACTGACGTCTTCAGGAGGCTACATCAGAATCAGCTCAGCTCATGCGGATCAGAGCATAGAAAATTACCTGATGCTTGTCTGAGAGTTGATTATCCTTGGTCATGAACAAAGATTTCTTGACAGCAAACAACCCCGCCGCAGGTGTCAGCTTGTTCAGAGCCACAGAGGATGGTCGTGTGAAAGTCGAAACCTTGACACCCATGACTGAATCTTGAGATTTGACATCGGAAGAAGCTTGACTCGCAAGCTCAAACTCCTCGAAAACCTCGTCTCGCGCCCTTCTGTCTTGGAGCAAATTCAGGAGCGGGGCTGTACCTCGAACAAGCTCTTTCATCTGCTCAGAAGACTCTTCATCGTGAATCAAATGAAGTCGCATTGGAGCTGCTGCATTCGCTGCTTGTGTGCCTTGCGATGTTGTTTCCGTGCTATCAAGAGCTGCATCAAATTTAGTAGCCTGCCAAGGGAACGCTTTACTGTACCTTCATGGCAAATTTGTCGGATATGAACATGAAGAATCTCAGCAGGAATGTCAGTGAAGTTAGCCGTCCTCGCACTACTACTGGCAGAGAGTGCCTCTTGTTTCTGTGAAGCGATAGGGCTGTAGCAGAAGAGGGGCTGCTCCGCTTGTGCTAGATCAAGGCAAGTCAGTCCTAAGCAGCTCTAGCAGGTCACGGGCCTCACTTGACTGGGGTTCAGAGGGGAGCGAACAGAGCTGAATGGAAGTGAAGGACGCTTTCTCTCTCTCTATGTCGCATCCAATCTTAACACGTTCTGATTCCACATGCACTTGATAGTCGCGCTTCTCATCGCAATGATTTTCTGCTGTTGTGCCGTTGTAAACCTGCGTCTCCTGATAGTCCTCCATGTTGATGTCTTGTTCAGCATACAAAAGCTCTCCTGCCCCGTGCCATGTACTCTTCTCTCCTTCGCCTCCTCCCATGTTACTGATTGCCATTCCCGCCCGCAAGCCCGTAACTCGCTTAGAGTGGGTGTGGGCCAAGAGAATGTTGGGGGTGGGGTAGGCAAACAAAGCCTAGGGGTAAAAAAATGCGAGGCAAGAAGAGATGGGGGAGCGAGGGAGCGAGGGAGGGAGGGAGGGAGGGAGCGAGGGAGCGAGGGAGCGAGGGAGCGAGGGAGGGAGGGAGGGAGGGAGGGAGCGAGGGAGCGAGGGAGGGAGCGAGGGAGGGAGCGAGGGAGGGAGCGAGGGAGCGAGGGAGCGAGGGAGGGAGCGAGGGAGGGAGCGAGGGAGGGAGCGAGGGAGCGAGGGAGGGAGCGAGGGAGGGAGCGAGGGAGCGAGGGAGCGAGGGAGCGAGGGAGCGAGGGAGGGAGCGAGGGAGCGAGGGAGCGAGGGAGCGAGGGAGCGAGGGAGGGAGGGGGAAAAGGAGGTTGAAGAATAGCTAGAGGTAGATGGTCAATTTCGAAGAGTCCCTTGCAGACAAGAGGTCGACTTGCTAGTTCTACCTGCTAGCACTATTGCTGATGATGAAGATAAGTAGCAGGTATCAGCCGACATTGTGCTAAATCAGACCAACATCTATCCTTTCGATATGCCATGAGCCAAAAGGTGACAAGACATTGATTTACAAGGAAACTTTCAGCTTCTTGTTCCAACTCGGTTGAGATCTTAATCCAGACAAAATGGAAGGTGCTTTGAGCATGTTGCAAGATTACAGCGAGTTTGCTACTTTCTACGGATCCTTCCTCTTGAATCAATTGTTGTACTGGGTTCTCCCGGAAAGGGGGGAGGATGCGCCGCGGCTCAAGTCCTGCTATCTTTCGCACATCCACTGTGCCGTAACCATCACAAGCTGTCTGATCTACTGGGCAACCAACGAGGTGGACGTATTTTCTCCTAAGTTCATGGTTGAAGGGCCGGATGGTTTGCTGGCATCGTGGATGAGGTGTACAGTAGCTTTCTCGGTGGGCTACTTCGTGAACGACTTCGTGCTCATCATGATGCACCCATCGGTTGGTGGAGCTGATATGATTGCTCACCATATCATCATCGGAGGCTTCTTCATTCTCGGGCTTCTCGACAGGTTTAATGAATGTGCTTGTGTGATTGTAACCTAGCAACAGATGCTGTACTCCTTACCATTTTCTCTTCATAATTGAGGAACTTTCTACCCCATTTCTAAACCTTCGATGGCAGTAATTCTTTTTTGCATTTGTTTCTATCTCGAATTCTGCTGCTGCATCTCTTCGAAATATGCGACTTATCCCTTCTTCTGTCAGGTTCAGACATCAAAAGAATGGAGCAGTTTATCAAATCTCTCAGATTTTGTTCGCAATCCTGTTTTTTGTGTCTCGCATCCTCGTTGGAACCGGTAACTTCACTCGCTCGCTCTCTGGATTGATTGCATACAGGGTTGGTTTGGGCATCAGGATTGTGGATGCTTCCCGAATACATTCTTAGCCAGCCCAGTCGCCTCCGTCAAGTTCACCTCACAGCCCAGCTTGCTGCCTGCACTCTGAGGTGATTTGGAATGCCTTACAGCCGACCAGTAAGACATGGCAGTCGAGGACTGAACCTTTTCTGGTTCTGGAAGATAGTGAAGATTGTCATCAGAACAGCAGCATCCAAGAACGCTGAAAGTAGCAAGGCCAAGTGAGAGAAGGGGCAGAGACAAGGCATGGTGGTTAAGCAATCATGTCAAGTTTTACATGTTTGCGTCATGAGCAAAATAAAATTCCTTCTTACGGGAAAAATTGATGAGTCAACTAAAATGTTTAAAATATCCTAAGGAAACATATCATGTTCGCAAGAGCTGCAAGATAAAATCTATGTGCATTCGCTCGTCGGAGCCTCACCTCGTTTGCAAGCACGAGCCAGTTGCAAAACCTGAAACGCAGATCAGCACGAAGTGAACACGAGCATCGCAAAAAGATTTGAAAAGGAGGAGGTACAACCGATTAAACAAAGAACACTCCTACATCAAGCAAATCATCCCTAATATGGTTTCAAGAGCCCCTACAAACTCTTGAGGTGGTAAGATAACTTTAAATACGCAACATCCCAAGATTTTCTTAATGAACCTCTCGAATCGTCTCCACCGTCTTGGTCTCAAAGCTCACCTGCTGCATAGTGGAGGTGGCTTGCTTATCAAGAACTCCTGTGGCTTTCAGGCCTGGGAGAGGAACTTGCCCAGGCAAGCATCCGCTAGAGTCGCAGTAGTCCCCCAACGCCGCCGGCGCAACATACAAGCTCGTCCACATTGCCCTCCTTGCTAAATCCGGCGCTGTGCCCTCATCCCCCCATTCGCTGACCCGGGGCCTCAGGCCTGCCTCAGGCTCAGGTCACGGAGGTGGAACTCGCAATAAAAAGGTCTAGTACCGGTATATTTGTATGATATTTGAGGGGTACCTTTTCGAGAGGGGGTGGGTGAGTTTGCAGGAAATCGCCATGGCAGCAAGGCGGCGACCAGGTTGAAGGATGATTAATTCAGCCTGTGCAATGATGACTGCCTCCTCCCGGCAGTCCTCCCGGATTCCCCCTTGACTCGTGACTACCCAGCGCCGTACTGAGTCTACTACCATCATGATCGGACAGAGTGGATGTCATGAATGCTTCATTGCGCGAACTTAAGAATCGACAGGAGGCTTCAGCAGGAGCCATGTTGTCGCCTGAGAGGGTCGGGCAGAGCTCAGTAAGCCTGAGTCTCAGCATGTGGCGGCTGTGGAGCCTCCGAGTCACTGACCTTCGGTTCAAATTATGCAGCACAGAGAAGAATCCCCCGGGCATCGACTTGATCATCTGCAGGTAAGCTCATGCCCCCGCCTCCTATCGCGACTGCCCAACCTTGGCGAGGCGGACCTCAAACTTTGCCTTCCTCAACACCTTCACTGCCTGCGCCAGGCTTGTGAACATTTTGACTGAGAGTGGAGACTCTGACCTGCAAAGCGGCGATGAACTCAAGCATAAAGACTTCTTCCTGAGATCTTAGTGAGTGGTCGCCAATGCTCCTTCTACCTGATGACCTTCCAGGGCTCCGACTCCGCCAGCAAGGCTCGATATTCACCTGAACGACTTTCAGTTTGAATTCAAGGGAAGATCTCGTTGGGTTACGAAAATATTCCATGGGCGTGAGCGAGTCTTGTGCTTTACCCGCCCTAAACCATAATGAGGAGATAGCATGTGAGACGCGTCGTCACCGTTCTTCAGCAACAATCTGAGACAGTCTGTCACACATCATTCATGATCAGCAGCAAACCACGTACATCGTTGATACTTGGTTTTCCATCTCTTTTCACAGTAAATATTCGGAAACTAGAAAAGCTTGATCACAGAGGAAATATAAAGCATGACAACCCTTGCTGGTCTTCGATCTCGTGGCGGAGAAACATTGTAGTCAAGGATGAGCTGGCTGCCTGAAAGTTGCCATACTCCACCTGAAGCATGATCACTTGTTTGCCCTGCACCACACAAGTAATACTATACTCTGAGAATCTCGTCGAACCTATCAGTATGCCACTTGACCACCTTGTCGCGGTGAAAATCGAACTTGACTCGATGTATCGCTTGATTGGTCAACTGATCGCAAACATCACAGGAGCTCATGAGCGAGGGGGGAGAGCCTCGCTTGCATCCACCCACCAAGAGGATTCTGGTCTGATCTGCTCCCCATTCGTTCACTGAGGAGACCATGTAGCCCTTGAGGAGCCTCTCTCGCTCGCCTGTTTTCGTACTGCCTACGGAAGTCTCCTGGCAGATGCTCCGAGTTCAGAGTCAGCGAATTTGACGTGCAGGAATACCCGCATGTCGTCAACTTCTCCTTCTTCCCTCTTTCGTCCCAGAACTCTGCCTGGAGTCTCAGCCCAGCAACAGCAGGAGCCTCTCGCATACTCTTGTGCTGCCTTGTCAATGGCTGCTCGTTGAATTCCGTTTGGCTTCAAACTGTCACCTACATTCTGAGACAAACGAGGGTTATTTACCTGCCATAAGTGATGCAACTGCAAATACGTCAGTGCGAGTCATGCCCGTTCCTAAAGCTTACCTTCCCGACGTCCTTCAGCAGCGCAACTATATATTCCTCGTTTCCCGCCCTTGCAGCGTCCAAGAGCTCAGCCTGAAAAGTGGTCAAGCCACCAGTTATCACTTGATTGATTGACAGTGAACCTCCAACGATGAGAATTCTTCTGCCATTCCGTAGAGCCCCTGCATCCAGCCACGAGTGAACACATCTTCACTGCCTCTTTCCACATGATTCATTTGGCAGTAAAGATTTAATCAAAAAATATGCTTGATCCTCAAGCATAGTTCGAGCTGCCATATCGTCATACGACTACACTAGAGCATATCGTCATACCGCTACACTAGAGCATATCGTCATACCGCTACACTAGAGCATATCGTCATACCGCTACACTAGAGCATATCGTCATACCGCTACACTAGAGCATATCGTCATACCGCTACACTAGAGCATATCGTCATACCGCTACACTAGAGCATATCGTCATACCGCTACACTAGAGCATATCGTCATACCGCTACACTAGAGCATATCGTCATACCGCTACACTAGAGCATATCGTCATACCGCTACACTAGAGCATATCGTCATACCGCTACACTAGAGCATATCGTCATACCGCTACACTAGAGCATATCGTCATACCGCTACACTAGAGCATATCGTCATACCGCTACACTAGAGCATATCGTCATACCGCTACACTAGAGCATATCGTCATACCGCTACACTAGAGCATATCGTCATACCGCTACACTAGAGCATATCGTCATACCGCTACACTAGAGCATATCGTCATACCGCTACACTAGAGCATATCGTCATACCGCTATACTAGAGCATATCGTCATACCGCTACACTAGAGCATATCGTCATACCGCTATACTAGAGCATATCGTCATACCGCTATACTAGAGCATATCGTCATACCGCTACACCAGAGCATCTGTTGTCTGGACATTTCCATCTTCTCGTTTAGTTCTGGACTGGGTTTGGTAGCCCCTTGTAAAAAGTGAGCCCGGCTAATTCAGTTTGGGGAAACTCTACAAGCTGATCGCCTCAATGCAGAAAATGGCGGCCGTCATGCGCTGGCTCCTAGTCATGCTGTCGGTCTGTACCCACGTGAGAGGCTTCATCCCTCAACTCCTCAAGCCTTGTCTCCTCACTCGCTTCCACTCCGTAAGCTCATACTACCAATATCCTCCTCTCCCCACCCCTCAACGTTCATTCACCCGAGTGTACATGTCCGAAAACTTGCCGAAGAACATCAAAGACTCATTGCAGCAGCTTCGAGACGCAATGCAGGCAGCTCTGTCAAGCAAATGCAGTAGGATGGACATTGAGTTTCCCTACGGATCCAACATCGGAGTGGAAGGAAGAAAAACAGCGACAGACTCCGAGGTTCCTATGGTAATGCAGGATGATGCTCAAGCGTCAGATCGAGAGCTGGCGCGAGCAATGGTGGAGATGTTCAGGGGAACAGAGATAGAACAGAATCTTGTTGTTGCTTTCATGGACTCACCTCAGGCAAACAAGGCGACGAAGAGATGGGCAGGAGCGTTTGCTGGGAAGGTCATCGTGTTGGACTCCAAGCAGAACAAGAGACCGGCAAGAGCGGGAGGAGGAGGGTTCGGAGCGAGTGTGAAGGGAACTGCTGTGAAGGCCAAGACCAGTGCGATACCTGAAGGAACTGAAGTTCTTATCGTCGTCAGCCCCAGTGTCAAAGATCTAAAGGCGCTCGAGCAGATCTGCTCGGAGGTTGGAATGGGCTGTCTTGTCATCCTTGCCAACGCTCGTCTTGACGAATTGAATTATGAGAGTGAGTCGCAGGTGAGTTTGACTCCTTCTTCCTCCTCCCTCCCCTCTTCTCCCTCCCCCTTTTCATTCCTCTTGCTTCCCTTTCTCTTCCTGCAATCCATGCTAACATATCCAAGCGCAACTTTTTCCTCAACGAATTCGAGCGCGTGTACCATCTTAGGCCGTCGCCGTCCCCGAGTTGGAACGGAGGCGTTCTCTTTCGTGCCTTCCCGGTGATTTGCCTCACAAGTGCACTTTGTGTTGACTGCTGTAGGGTGATTGGGTTGTCGCCATGCCGCGCAAAATTGGACCCCCGAAGGTTCTGTATAGAAGCTCGCAGAAGGTGCATAAGCGCAGGCACTTGCACGCTGAATGACTCGATCACAGCCGTCTACGGAAGTTATAGACGTTGCCCTGCGCAAGGAGAAGGTAGGATTTCTGTTCGTTGTCCGTCTTGATGACTCTGGATGTATTGCAGGAGGCAACAGAAAGCTCTGGTGGCTTTCCCAATCCTTTTTCTTTCTTTCAATAAATTTGGACACCACAATTTGTGGTCATGCTCTCACCTTATAAAGTGTGCATACTACAAAACCACCATCGTCCAACTCTAGAGCTCCTTCTCAGCTGCCTTCTTCTTTCCCTTCTTCTTAAGCTCGAAGTTGGTACCTTCAGCCCTTTTAGCCACCACAAAATGTCAAAACATAGCAAACATACCGGCATTCTGCTTGATAAATTTTCGGAATCCCTTCACAGTCCTGCGCGAAAGCTTGAGATTTTGAAAGAGGAAGACACGTCCTCGCACACCTATCGCCGTTGTAATCCATTGAGGTTTTATCAGTGGCTTTGAAGAACTTTATAGTTGGGAATCCCTATTATCAAGAAAGAAATTATCGGCTGCTCAAGACAACGAAAACGAAATGCAAGCAGACTCATCCAAATTTCACCTGCACGTCGATATTCGATGGAGGATCGTTTGCTGTTGCATCCATCTTTGCAATCACGACACTACACGAAATATCAGAATCGATCTTGTACACAATGAGACTGAAACCTGTCGATATCTTGAAACTCTTTGCCGAGCTTATCATAGATGGGTGCCAGTTGTTTGCAATGACCGCACCTGCTCAAACTCAGCTATAGCTTTCCAAGACAATTGCGATTGAACCAGGGGGCATAAAATTCGACAAGCACGTCCTTAGAGGGATCCATGACAATCTCATCAAAGTTGGCCCCGACGAGAGTAGTCACTCCATGCTCATCAACCACGTTAGCGGGAAGCTTCTCGGACTTCCTGTGCGGCTTCAACTCTCCGTTGAGATAACTGCTCAAGAACTTCGCTAGTTCTCCATCTTTCGTCAAGGTATCCTTGGTTGGACCCTTATACTTGGACATTCCTTTCTCGCCTGGTGAAGGACTCTTGGCGATAAACACGCAAGGAGTCTCCTCTTTGTCTACTCCGAAGTAGTTCAAGACATTGTCGTTCTCGTTTCTGACCAGAACTGCAATAATCTTTCCATAGTTCGCCTTAGCATTTTCCTTGAAAGTCTTGATTGCTTCTTCGCAAGATGAAGATCCAACGTCGCAAAAGAGAAGAACTTGCGACTTGATCGGGCTTCCAAAGATCTTGCCAGAAGTTGCAGCAGAAAATTCAACGACAAAAGGCAACTGATGTATTCCAATCCAGCTTTCAATGTCGGCTGCATTCATAGCACCACTGTACACGACAGCTTCGTGCTCAGCATCTCCGCTAAACTTCTTGTACAATACCACATCTCCACCCTTCTGCTTTGCATGTTCGTGCACGCTTTTCTCATGTGATACTCCGAATTCAACATCGTCCATCTTCTTTGCAACCTTCTCGAACTCTTTCCAAGCATCTCCTTCCTTCGAGTTCAAAAACCCGACAACCACCACCTCGGCTTTGTTCTTGAAGTCATCAAGATGTGAGGTCTCGTTCAGTTGCACTGCTGCTGGTCCCATGCGCTTCTTGATCCACGTCACGATGGCATCATCTGTTCTACCTCCCTCGTAGTCGGTTGGCTCACCGTTGACAAACCACTTCAATGTGGGGAAACCGCGCACTCCGAACTTTGTGCCGAGTTCCTTGTGCGCGTCTATTGCGACCAGGTCAAGAGCACAGCCTAAATTTACCAACGACTCTCACCAGCATCAACCTTGGCCAGAGCAACCTCTGGGTGTTCTTTCTTGAGCTTAGTTGCCGCCTTCGCATAATGCGGCTTCAGCTGCTTGCAGTGTCCTGTAACAACATTCAGCATGCTCCAAAACTTGCGACGACAGAGCCTCGGCACTCACCGCACCACGGCGCGTAGAATTCGACGAGGATGTTGGGGTACTTGGCGATGGTCTGGTCGAAGTTGGAGGGAGTCAAGTCGATGACGTCTCGCTCGTCCACGTCTTCTTGTCCCCTGCTCACCCCAACCAACCCCACCACCAGCAAGATCAGCAGCGCGCGCATGGCAGAGGAAGTTAGCCTCCAAGGGGGTGGTGAAGGACCCGGTACTGGACCATAGTAGACAGGGGGTAGTATGAGGATACCACAACATATCTAGGGGGTGGGGGTCAGGACTGTCGAGCTGGCAGTCTCTTGGTTGACTTAGTCTCTGACTACCCCCTCATATTATACTGGTATGACCCACCCCATCGTGTTTAGCTCTCAAATGCAACGTTTCTGTAACGGTTATTCAAACGGTCTGTGTAACGATATGGTGCAACGGAATTTAACGGGCAAAAAGGGAGAGACAAAAAAGCATGGCCGGGATGATGGATGGAATGCGATGAGGAGGGTGAGGGGGGGTTCGTCGCCTGCTGCCTCATGTCACCTCTCCCTTCACCTTCACCTCCTCCTCCTCCTCCTCACACTGCTGCTTCCTTCCTGCAACCTTCACCCCGCGGGAGTTGGCTTTCTCCTTCCAGAAATAACCCAGCAGATTCAGGTTCCAGCATCGCAGCCAGCGAGTTCGATCTTGGCAGGATTTCGAGTGAAGGGAAGGGAGGATGTGAACGAAGCTGCCGCTCTGAATCTCCGACCGCTGCACTTGTTTCGATCGCCTCAGAAGAACGATGTCTCCTCCATACACGAGAGGTTGCAAATGTTCCAAAGGAGGTTTTTCAATCCACGGGAAAGCATGTGGCAGAGTTCACATTCACAACCTATGGCCTCCTCGTGGAATATGGTAGAGAACGATGCTCTCTTTCGAGCGGTAAGCACTTTTGGAACCAATTGGCATGCCATTCTGAATAGCTCTGGATATGGATGCCTCCTCAAAGGCCGTGACCCAGCCGCCCTCGACGCTCAGTGGAGGTTCTTGAAGTCAATGGGAAGCAGCAGAAAGCTTGTGCAGGCACCTCAGTCTCCCCTGGCCCAGTCTAAATCGCCGCCGAAGAAGTTGAAGAAGAAGGCAAAGAAGTCCAGGACCGCACTGGAACCCAGGATGGAACCTTTCTCTAGCTCGGAGAAATACAAGGTGTTGAGAGGTATGGAGATCGTCGGCTGGGGGAGGTGGAAGGACCTTCTTTCTATCTATAAGATGAGAAGATCTCCTGACATGCTCAGGTCCTTTGCTGTCAGTCTCATCCTTGCTCCATTGCAACTTGACTTGACTCGAGTCTGCACACCCTCCCGAAGCTGCCGACTGAGATCATGGGTTGGCAGCTCTGATCTCAGCAACGCCTCCTTGTGCTTCTTGCCTTGTCCCACTGCTGACCCTTGCTGCTTCCTCGCTGTGGATCGCAACCTGTTCAGCAGACCTCCAGCAGCACCCAAGGATGACGCCTTGAGGAAGGGCTCGTTCGCCTGGGTCCTCACGGACTCGCTGCCACCATGGCCAGCCGTGACGATCCGAGCGAGTGACAAGGTAAAGAAGGAGAAGAAGAGACGCCAGCAGGCCATCTGCTTCGGTACCTTCGAGCTGATCTCCACCAGCAAACGAAACTTCAAGCCCTTCAAGTCTCTAGTCACTCAGTTCCACAACTTCACCGCAGAAAGCGACGGACTAGACTCGCGATCCACAAATTTCTTGAAGTTCAGCAATGCGGTCAAGTTGTTGGCGGATAAGCCCAGGGTCCTCGACATATACAAGAAGTCCATCATGGATGCTGCAGGCGCGTGGCTGGAGCGAAAGAATTTCATGGCGAGTAAGTCGACCGACGAGGCCATAGAAGAATTCTTTACAACGCTCAAGGCGGAAGAGCACTTGTTGAGAAACATCACAATGCTCTCGAAGAAGGGAGAGAAGTTCAGGTGATCCGATCCTCCTGTTGACGCTGCGCTCTGTGAATCTCACTTGCGCCTCAGAATCGCTCCATGGGTGAGGGAGAGTTCTGGGGAACCCGAATTGTCGACGTCGCTCGTCAACATGTCATGTGAGTGTGGGATATCAGTCAGTCGAGAAGAACTGGAGGAGCACAGAAAGAGTCAGAAGCATGCCGACCTCTTGGCCTTCTGCAGGCTGATGAATGTCAGCAGCCAAGATGGGATCAACGAGATGTTGGGCGAGCGATTCAAGAATTCAGATGTTGCTGAAGACATCAAGAGCCCTAAGTCGCGGCAGGAGGAAGCTGAGGCTCTTAAACCCGTCAACCTTTCCATGTGCAAGCCCGTCGTGTGCCCAAAGTGGGAGGAAGAGCTTCTGATCTTGTCCTCGGAGATTCAGAGGAGGGAGGCGGTGCAGCATCTTCTCCATGAGCAAGCTGATCGTTCTCATCCTGCCACCCTCGAAGAGCTTGAAGGCAACCAGTCGGTCAGCCTCAAAGACGACAAGGACATAGGGCAGCACAAGGCGAAGATTGCGAGGATCGAAGCACTCACTGCAGAGGTGGAGGGGGAGAAAATTTACGGGGCTTACGAGGTGGAGGGGAGAAGCGGGATGGAAGAGAGGGTTGTCTACGGCTGTCGCCCCTGCCGGGTTGTCAACGAGTCCCCACGGGGGCTGCGGCTGCACCTGGCGACTCAGCGGCACTTGTACAAGGTGAGGTGGATGCGGATGGGATGGATTTCCATCAACGGGGAGAAGAGCGACTTGTTCCCCTCCAACCGCTCTGAAATGTACTCTCGCTTCCGTGAAAAGCGCTTCCGTATCGAGGCCAAGCACAGCAACCGACACTGCGCCAAGTGCCGCAAGCTTGGGCTCGTCGTCTGCTGCGACACCTGCCCTCGCGTGCTACATCTGTCTTGCATTCCTGCTGATATTCCTCTTCCCCGATCAGCATGGCAGAGGGACGTGTGGTCGTGTGAGCGATGCTCTGCTGCCAACATGACCAGAACAAAGAGAAGGGAGTCGCAGAAGCTCAAGCCTAGCAAGCGGCTCAAGGCACTTGATGGAGGGAAGGCAAAGAAAATTCGCCGCGCAGAGCTGGGCAGCAAGAGACTGAAGATGTCGAGCTCGACCCAGCAGCTCGATCACGTCCAGCTGGATGACATCGATCAGCCTCTGGTGCTTCACAACTCCTCCTGCTTAGCTAGACAAGTCTCTCCACCTGCTGGTTGCTGCTTCAGCTCGCAAATAGCTGGGCTGGCCGACGACTGGCTCAGGGCGACTTCCTTCTTCAGTCAGGTTGTTCCCTTGCTCGACGTGGGCAACGAGGGCGAGGAGTTGCTCCGTTTCGTCTCCTCCGTCTCCCTGGAAGATGCTGCCTCCTTCTCTTCCGACATGGCTGCTCCCGTCGTTGCCTGGCTGCTAGACCTCTGCTCGCCTCTCAACGAAACCAGCGCAGAGCAAAAGGAAGGGAGTGAGGAGAGCAGAGCTAACAGTCAGGAGGAGGAGAATGAAGGTGCTGAGAAGTGCCCTGTTGCTTCAGCCTCCGAGAACGTCACGTGGCAGACCCGCGCAGCAGGTCTCATGCGCAGAAGCTTTGTGGCTGACGAGATGGGGGGACTAGCGTCTGACCTGGAGGAGGGAAAGGAGCTCCCGCGGGGGGCTTGGTGGAAGGTCGTGGCTTTTCTGTGCGACGAGTCCTGCTCGTCTCCAGCTGTCAGGTTCGCCATGGCGAAGTACTCATCGAACCTGGAGGCGCAAGCGAGAAGGCGGAGGATGGAAGTGCGAAAGATTCGTGAGGTGAAGCTTGTGCAGGAGGGGCTGCTGGTGGAGGTGCTGGACCCTCAAACCTCCAGCTGGCTGGTAATGCAGGTCATCCAGAACTCGTCCAACAAGACGTTCCGGGTTGCGCCTCTCGTTTCTCAGCTCCCACATGCAGATGCAAAGGCAGGAGTCGGCGATCGCATCCTCCGCTTGTCTCAACTAGGAAGCGAATGGCGTTTGGTGTCGAACACGTCGGAGGCACGGCAGGTGCCAGGCAGCGGAGGGAAAGGGATAGGAACAGGCAGCAGGGGCTGCTTGAGAAAGGAGGCACTGGGCTCCGATCGACATCTCAACTTCTACTGGGCAGTCAGTGGATCCTTGTGGAGCTGCGAGCACAATCGCCGGCCGCCTCAAGCTGGAGCTTGTCCAGGTGACCCCTCGGCGTCTCCCCAGCTCCTCTCGAGCTGCTAGTGTGGTGACTGGGAATTTAGGACGCGTGTGGAGTCGCTTTAGCCCCGGAGAATCGCTGGACGCGCTACTGGGATACTTGCTGCCCCACGGGTGAGAGTAAGGAGGGGATGGGGGATGGAAGGGGGGGGGGGGGGGGGGAGAAGGGAGGGAGGGGGTTGAAGCGCTTGAGGAAAAAGGGGGACACCGGAAAGTCGTCTGCTGCAAAACTTTCAAGACATCCGTTGCTTTGAAATTGAATAAATGGTTTCC